GTGCCTGCTCAAGACAACTTGATTTTAGTGTTAGTCTAAAAAGTACGCATTAAAAATGACAATCTATGAAAAAAACAATTTAATTGAGAGTGTGTCAAGATGATGGTTTAAGATGAAGGAACAATTAAACCTTAACAAGACAGGCTGGGCCCTTTTCTCCAGGCAAAGGGAAGTTGAGGTCCAGACTGGATGTGCAGTGCGCCGAAGATGAGTCGTGGCTGGGAGCTTCTGTCTCCTGACGCTTCGGCTCAGTGTTGCCATGAGACTCTGCAGAGCTCTGAGTTCCTGTCGAGACAAACGTAAATCATTGTTAAAGGGGTCATATGATGCGATTTGATGTGAACTTTGGAGTGTTACAAGCTCTTGGTGCATAAAGAAGATCTGTAAAGTTGCAAAGATTAAAGTCTCAAATCCAAAGAGATATTATTTATAAAAGTTAAGAGTCAACCACGCCTACCTAAAATGGCTCAAGCGAAACTACTTTGTTTGGTCTTCCAAAAGAGGACACGACTAGAAATCAGTGGTAAAGTTGTATTTACAACACTGTTCCAGAACAGTTCAACCCAAATATTCAGATGTGTCCGGTGCATTTTATGGAGGACTGTTTCCTGATCCTGGTAGAGTAGACTACAATGCCGGCTGTTCTGACTTAAAGACTGTAAGTAAGTTTTTTATATTTAAAGAGTTTGCCAATGACGATTCAAACGCGAGTTTTGAGCAGTGTAGAATAGCACTTGTTGTTTGTCATTTCTCCGATCACAAATGCAGACATGGTTTTATGTTTACGCGGCGCGATGCAACGCAACGTGTAAAAAGACAGTATAAGTCATTATAATCCATAATTATGTCCCCACTGGATGCAACAAATGCCTCGTTTATAATGGGTTTTAATGTTTTTGAATCGTCGCTCCGGCCGGACAGGGCACCACAGTATGGTAAGGGGCGTAACATTTCCGTCACACGCTTGAGGAATTCGGCCAATCACAACGCACTGGATAGCTGGCCAATCACAGCACACCTCGCTTTTTCAGAACGATGAGCTTTGTAAAAATCAAGCGTTTCAGAAAGGCGGGGCATAGAGGAGAAACAATAATGTACAGTATGTGGAAAATAATGTGTTTTTTGAACCTTAAACCGCATAAACACATTTCATTACACCAAATACACAAAATAATGTTCTTTTTAACAGCATCATATGACCCCTTTAAAAAAAGGAAGATTCCAAGTGCATCTAAGAAAAGAAAAGAGAAGAGAATTTTTTTTCCAGACATTGCTTTCAAAAGGTTAAGAAAGATGTTCTATAGATCAGATATGTAGAAGTGATCCATCGTGGACTGCTTATATTTCTTGAGATGTTCCAAATGTGTAAGTTGCTTTCTAAGTTGTAATATCTATCTATCTATTGGAAAACACAACTTCTGAATAGCTGCAGGGTATTAAGAATCACCAATTCTTAAATATTTATTTCTTAACAGTATGTATCAGTAATAATCAATAAAATAATAATAATCAATAAAAAAGAATAATCATCAATAAAAACGACTTGCCTCCACCTGCAGTTAAATAATTAAAACTTGGTATGGCATTTGTTCTCCAATTATTTCTACACACTGGAACATTCGGCACAGGAACATACAATCCATCCAAACTAGGGTTCCTAGAGTGTAAGTTACCAGAACCAAGGGTGAGAACTGAGGGAAACCACAGATATGTGGGTCCCATAAATGACCCCTATATCCAAATACACAAATACATTCTATTCTACACACATGAAAAGTGGTGGAGCTCCAGTCCAGCTGATGGACAACAGGAAAGTCCGTTTTGATCTGGAGTAGTTTACACGTATTTTTAGAAGCAAAATCAACCGGTAGGGGCGTAACATTTCCGTCACGCGCTTGAGGTATTCGGCCTATCATAACGCACTGCATAGCTGGCCAATCACAGCACACCTCGCTTTTCAGACCGATGAGCTTTGTAAAATTCGACACGTTTCAGAAAGGCAGGGCATAGAGGAAAAACAATAATGTACAGTATGTGAAAAATAATGTTTTTTTTAACCTTAAACCACATAAACACATTGCATTACACCAAATACACAACATAATGTTCTTTTTAGCAACATCATATGACCCCTTTAATTTTCAACATGACATGGATGAAGGAACAAATCTAACCTAATCTAATCTTGAACAAAAGATAGATGGAAAAAATGTCTGCATACTGGAACTGCATTCTTCAGACGGATGAACTTAATTTTTCCTTCTTACCTTGACTAACATCTTTCATCTGTTGGGGCTGCGTGTCCATCTCATCGTCCTCTTCATAGCTGCGCTTATGCCTGTTTGGAACATAGGAAGTGGAGGGCACCACTCGTGCCTGACTGGTACCTGCGTAGCTGTTCTGAGCCGTTAAAGATAGCTTAACTTCCATATTGGTCAATAAGAACAAGGGAAACTAACAATCATACACTGTGAAAACTTACTTGAAGTAAACAAGATAGTTTCTGGCTCCATATAAAGGATATTTCTTTGGCCCATTGAGATTCTCCTGGGATGGGGACACAATAAAATGTCTGTCTCTCTGAAGTAACTGTGTTTCTTGAGTTGAAGTCCACCTGCTGATATAAAAAGTCCAGTTGCTTATATCTGTTTAACTCTTATATTATGTTGCAGGTCAATCTGACTCATTTCATATTGACATTTTTGAATACATGTTAATCTATGATGTTCTTAAAATTTTGTGACTCATTTAGTGTCATGATATGCCTGCAAAATGTTGGTACAATCTTTCTATTACAATTATGAAATTTGCAGGTCAGTGTTAAAGACAGCTGCACAGACCCAACATAAAATACCCCTTTTTTATTTTTATTTTGTTTTGCTAATTTTTCAACTACACTCTGGGGTTATTTACATTTATGCATTTGGCAGATGCTTTTATTCGAAGAAACATTAGAAGTTATAATTATAATTGCATTTATAATATAGTGTTCATAACATTCACAGTTTATGAACATAAAATATGTGTTACCGTTTTAAAAATCATATGTTCTCATGTTTATTTTTTGTAATATTTGAAAAGTATTAATGGTAAAGATTTGCTGTTTTACCCGTTTCTTTTGGTTGGCTTTTCATATTGTGACTTTTAATTAATTGTATTCAATCAACCCCGGTCAGAAAAATTGTACCCCGGTTTTGAAAATTATGTAACATGCTTTTAACACACCTATAAATTTGATCTGAAATATGATACAGCTTCTCCAGACCTAGTATATAAATACACTGGTCTGTGCTGTATGTTTATATGTTAAGGCAAATATTTACTCACCCCACCCACTGTGATATCTCTGTATTTTCCACATTTCACCTGCTGTTAAGGACAAGTTAGAAATTATTCAAACAATAATGGGGCAAATGCAATTATATTAGGCAGGCTTAGAAGTACGTACTTTAGAGTTAGATGTGAGATCATTCGTCTCATAAACACCCATGAAAAATTCTGGATCAAACATATCCTGGACCATGCAACGAAATTTCACGAGGCTATTAGGCTTCAGGTAGTACAGGGGAACATCATTCAGAGATGGAACCTGGAAAAACCAGAAAAAGAATGGCACCAAAGTCAAACAGGTGAGCTTGAGGACTGATCTCTCACTAAAACCATTCATTTCCTGGCTAATAATTAAGGCAATCATCACAACCCCATATTTAACTGTGCACAGCTGTAAAAATAACATGCTAGATTACACCCACGTCAGTTTTCATGGAAAAAGAACCGGCTTATTGCATAACATTGATGTCATCTGTCAAAACAACGGCACACAGTGGACTAGACACTATCCTAAACATAAGCACACATTTATTTCTGCAAGAATACCGCATAAAATCATTCATATGTGTCAATATACTAAAAATGTCCGAGGAGATAGGATTTTAACAGCTAACTTACCCATGTATGAGCGTCGTTTAGTTTCAGTTTCTCTTTGAAATACTCCACAACTTTCTTCTCCCAGTCTGGACTGGAGTTACTCTGGGCTGTAGGAACACAAAGCATAGTCACATGTTAGAAAAGTAGTTTATACATGGTTATTTACAGTGTAATGCTGGCCAGTACATGTAAACTGATTTACAAAGCGTTGCAAATCATGACGATCACATGCTCCTCTGTGAACTAACGTTACATGCATTAGTATCAAAGAACATATTTTGACTGCTGTGTCTTACCAAACAGCCCATCAACAACAGCCAGTGGGTTATTGATCCAGTCATGAACCGTAGGCATCGCTGCAGGATTTTGAAACACACAAAATGTAAAATTAATACTCCTTTGACATGTACTATAACAAGCACGTTCCAGAGTTCAGCGGGGCACAATACACCTTGGCGGGAAAATTGCGTCATAAAAACTACCATGTGACCAGGCCGCAGTGCGCACTGCCCTGAGAAGACTAGACAGTAGTTCACCGATATGTACAATGGCTCTATCAAAAAACTCTTTCTACAAACAATATATATATATACATTTATATATATAAATGTATTATTATATTATTATTAAATAAGTTATACGAAATTATAATATGTTAATAATAACATATTAATAAGAAGTTATTTGTGTTCAAGTATGAAAATAATTGATGATTGCAAGAGTTTCCATAAAATGCCTAAAGTTGGACATTTATTGAACAAACTTACTCAAGTAAGAAGTACGTTTGTACACATTTGAAGTAAAAATTGATTAGCGCTTGAAAGTGAAAGTGTTTTTGTTTGGAAGTGTTTTATTTTCTAGCATCTCGTGTTTTTAAAAGAAAAACGAAAGAAATTACATTTTCGATGTTGTGTGTCATTGATTACTTTTGCCTTGGTACGTCAACGTCACGCAGATCTGTATATCATGTGCTATGCGTCAGAGCAGATTATTATATGAAACTTTCATACTGTAAATGAAGTGAAAATCTGCGAAAATCTAGAGATCCCTTTTAGCTCTGCCGTGACGAACCAGGAAGTGTTGTAAAAAAGAAGCTCTGCCTGTTCCGACTGGAGGACAAGCTACGTGTAATATTTGATTGAAAATGGCTGATAGGAAAGCCAATAACATCCCCAGCAGCAGCGCAAATCTGCTGTTTTCAGCGGCTCCGGAGTTCAACTTCAGCCTGCCGTTCATACCTGTCAGTCAGGCCACCGGCCCCGCGGTTTTATCCGGAGGTGAGCTTAGAAAGTCTTCAAATGAGCTGCTTTAGTGGCTAGTGATGTTAGCTTTCCTCTATTTTCATCTCAAAGGTCTTTGCTCTTTATGATAATAAGCTTATGCTTTCTGTAAGATTATTTTACTCTGATATCCAGTAAACATAAACAAGCATTTTTTACGGTTGTCAAATCTTTTGCGAATTTATTTGCTTGATTAGTAAAAGAACAGTTGACGTTGCATTTATGTTTATATACATGGCAAAATATGTCATAACAGGTAGCATTTACGGTGTGAAATTAATCAGAGGTCGCTACTCAAACGTGCCACGAGATTACATTATCACTAACTATCCCCTAAACCACCTGTCATCAAACCTAAACTTAATTTAATTGCATTAAATATTGTAGAAACACAGAAGTGTCATATGTACCTTTTAAAGGACCATTACTGCTATTACCTCGTTTTAAAAATGCCATATGCCATAGCAAAAAAAATAAAAAAAAACACAAAAAAAACATCCTCTTTATAAAAACTGTCAGATATTTATGAAAACATTTATACAATCAGGAAATATCAAAGTCAGTCTTTATCCTGAAGCTCCTCTTTTCATATTGCACCTGTGAGGAGTTAAAAAATCCTCTGCTCAACTCTGAATTAAGTAGATTGATTTTTTTAATAGATTTTTTTAAATTTGAGGATTTCTATTTTTGTTGGATGATTCATTAAATCTAGGGCAGTATTACAGCCTAAATGCACACTTATGTATTTTTTTCTACATTTTTTTAATAAAGAAAATCAAATGCTCATAACGCTTTAATGCCAAACAAAACAATTATATTTAAGACTCATTTTCTGTGCATTTCTTTCATGTCATCCTCTGTAAAGATGATGCCAGTGAAGTTGGAGAAGAAGACAGTTTTCTTGGTCAGACGTCATCAGCAGCTCCTCAAGCCTCCACATTCAATTATTTTTCCAACACGACTAACAGCAGCGACCCATTTGCATCTATAGGGCAGCAGCCATGCCCGCCTCCAGCTGCCACCGTCATTCCATCAACAACAGGCCCGTCGCCTGCATCCACTGCAGCTAGCCTGCCTCTAAACCCACCAATATCTCACATGAACCCCATTCAGCAGTATGGCAGTGTTACTAATCAAACCCCTATGAGTACATACACTCATCCACCTAATGCACCGACTCCTCCTCCTCCTACCCAGAGCTCCCAGCAGTCCTATAATCCATACCGTCACACAGCTGCCAGTAGCAAAGCTAGTCCGTACCTCATGGCTCCTGAATTACAGCAGCAGCCCCCCAGCCAAACACCCCAGCATCTAAACCCCTATTCTCAGGCCACACCTGCTCCCTCGTTCCAGACTCCACCCACAGCGTTTAACAAGGTTGGTCATGTAATGTCATATTTGTCTTTTAATCACTATGCGCTTAAATTTATAGTTGGAAATAAGAGGGATTTTACTGGCTCTGTCATATTTGAAATTTCGTCTGCTGCCACTATTAAAGCTGTTCACAGTCTACTGAGACTGACTTCAGTTATAATCTTGAGGATGCATTATATATTCTACCATATCGGTTATCTGTAAATTTAAATTATTAGACTTTTTTTATTATTGGTATTAGTTTATATTTAATTTATATTGGCCAGTAGTGGATATTTGATTGTTCCTACTCATTTCCTGCTTTGTAGATCTAATACTCACAAAAGTTTCTTACTATAAAATACAGTGCTATTTTAGTATTTATGTGCCATTATAATATTTAGTAATATTTTGAATTAATAGGTTCTTATATTTTAAGTTTTGATTGTAGTTTGTTTTAGTAATTTAGTATTTTGTTCTTTTGTCATGTTTTTTTTCTTCAGTTTTTTTATTTAATTTCTTTTTTATTTCTTTTAATATTAATATATAGCTTTAATTAATTTAGTCATTTTAGTACTTCAACTTATTTCACAAACATTTTCATTTATGTTTTTTAAAGTTAAGTTTTTCATATAATTTATAATCGATTTTATTTTAGCTTTATTTCTATTACCAAAAACATTTTAGTTTTACATTTTAGTTAACAGCAGTGATACAATAAAATACTGTGATAACTAAATTCATTTTTCTACTAGTTTTTAGTTTGGAATTTCTTTTTTTTTTTTTTGACAAAATAGAATTTAATTTTAATATCGGCCATTTGTGGGATGTCTATCACATAATAATCGAATCAGATTTATATAAACTAGAATATGTAATACTGGTGCAACCCTAAAGAAAGAAAGAAATCAATCAACTGTCTTTTTAAGCATGTTTAAGAAAACTGGCATATTTTGTAACAGTTTTAAAAAGGAATTGTATTTTGTCATTATAGTGTTTTGCTATTTTTCAGCCTCCCCCAACACAGATTCCACCACCACCTACAACGGCCAGCATGACCGGACCATTAGTCCCTGCCAACTCAATGGTGCCATATGCATACAATGTTTATGAACCTGTTCAACCTCACTGGTTCTACTGCAAACAAGTGGAGTCAAAGATGGTCTGGCTTCCCTTTAGTATTCTGGATTCCATTCAGTTGGAAGAAACATTTAACTCTGGTAAGACAGAAAGTGTTTTCGTCAAACCCACTTACATTGGCAGGAATGACTCTACAAGGCTCTGCTAGTATTTTGATATTAGTTCTTAGGCTTTTGATGTTTGAAGTCTGCCTCTGTCACTGTAATTTAATTAGTTTGAGATTAACTAGATTGTGTTTTTCTATGTATGCCAAGAGCATGTGGCCACTCTTAGTCTATTTCACAATCTGTTGCTTCAGTTCAGCCAGATCCAGAGAATGTGATAGTGTGTACGGACGGAGGGCGCTATGATGTGCAGCTGTATGACCGCACACGGACTGCCTTGTACTGGGAGGAAGAGCCCACTGAGGTCCGCCGCTGTACCTGGTTCTACAAAGGAGACGCAGACAGCCGCTTCATCCCCTATTCAGAAGACTTTAGTGAGAAGCTGGAGGTTTGTGCTCCCCTATACATTTTTCTCAACAGTATTCATAAAATTGACTATCAGAAGGCAACTTTGAACTGCTCGATGTTAAACAGGCAGAATATAAGAAAGCTGTTACCACTAATCAGTGGCACCGGCGACTGGAATTCCCTTCTGGTGAGACCATCGTAATGCACAATCCAAAGGTACAACATTATGAAATGTTTTTAGTAAGAATGGAATCTAGAGAGGAATGACGGTTGTGTAGCATAAATCTGATTGGTTCCTCCTCAGGTGATTGTGCAGTTTCAGCCGTCTGCCATGCCTGATGAATGGGGCACGACACAGGATGGTCAGACCCGACCTCGGGTCGTCAAGAGGGGTGTGGACGATGATCAGGATGAAGTTCCTGATGGTAAATGCGTCTTTTAACCTCAGAGTTCTCATTTCTGATTTATCCAGCCTAACTAAGTGATTTGTTCTGGTATTTTGCAATTTAAAATCCTCTACATTTTAAAATGTGTCAAACAGCCCTCAACCTCAAGATTATTAGGTATTATTTAAAGGAGAATGCATAACGTGCCAGAATTATTGAAGAATATTGTGTTTTCCCATGTAGGTGAAATGCCTCAGGTGGATCATCTGGTGTTTATGGTGCATGGCATAGGCCCCGTCTGTGACCTGAGGTTTAGGAGCATGGTGGAGTGTGGTATGTTACACTAGTTTAGTGTCCAGATAAAAACTGTCTTTGAAAATTGCAGTTATAAAATCTTGATTTAGGCCATTTATTGTTTCTGTGTGAATGCAGACTGTGTTTGTATTCACAGTGGATGACTTCCGCAGCGTGTCCTTGAAGTTGTTGCAGAGTCATTTCAAGAAGGCCCGTGATGATCATCTGATTAGTCGTGTGGAGTTTCTGCCTGTGCACTGGCACACAGCTCTGCATGGTGATGCCACAGGCGTAGACAGGTAGAGACACAACGTTCAGCCACATTCAAGAGAGGGTTTACTTGAAAGCTGTATATGAGGCCTAAAACGGACCCTTCAGCCACCAAAATGGAATTTAAATATAATATATATTCAAAGCATACATTACCATTCAGAAGTTTGTGATCATTTTTTAAAAGAAACTAATGTTTATATTTAGCAGAGTTTTTTGATAAATTGATCAAAAGTGATAGTAAAGAAGATATTTATAATGTTATGGAAGTTTTTTTTTTATAATGTGTGTGTGTGTGTGTGTGTGTGTGTGTGTGTGTGTGTGTGTGTGTGTATAT